TTTCAATAAATTATAGGATAATAACAGCAAGAAAATTTCGAAGTTGACGAGTGAATTGGCGAACTGACTTATTGATGAATGGATGAATATTTACTTTTTGGTACGTAGTATTGGGTTAAAAGAATTATGTGTATGTGTTAAGTGTATGGAAATAAAAAACTATTTATCATAAAAATATATATATATATATTGCCCCAGTGTTACTTTATATCCTTTATATTATAATAATCATTGTAATAATAATAGTGGATATAAAAGCGTCAAACGGGGCATCTATTGAATCATTGGAATCTTTAATCAGCTTTGTTCAAATAACTAATTTTTTCTTGTTTGAAGGAACAAAAAAGGATTTCATACAAACAGAAAAAATTTTTTTATAATTATTATAAATCTTTATTAATAACAATTTTAGAATATTTGTAAACAGTTGTTTTTTTTTTTATTCTGGAAATTGACTGCAAATGATATGTGTAAACAATTTTTATTTGTCTGAATGTTCAAATATAACAACTTTCATTTTTTAAAATCTAAAATCTATAAATAAATAAATTATTATTATAATTTAACCTTCCAGCCATTTCTCCATAAAATTAAAGAAACGAAAATATTGGTAAGCATATAAAGTGATAAAATTATTTCTGCTACTAAATCACTTGTATACAAAGTTTTTGTTGAAATATTAATTAATCCAGTCAAAATATTTGCCTGTTAAAATATCAGTAATTAATTATAAATAAATACGTTGTCAAATATTAATAAAACATTATTTTTTTTTACTTACGATTAAAAATATAAATAAATTATTTTCATTAATTGATTCAATTATATTCGGCAATATTTTATAATTTTCATTATTTTTATTGAATTTCCACCATTTATCGAAAAATGAAATCTCAACTAATTGAAATAATGACAGAAAACTTGTATTAAAACTTAATATCCAAAATATATAACTCAAATTTGCCAATTTTCTACTGATCTCAATTTTGATTCCAATACACAATAAAAATCCAATCCAGAATAATATTGACCATGACATTAAAATCAATAATAATTTGGTGGGTTTAGGAAATTTTTTGTTTTTTCTGTTCATTTTAAATGCATAATATGGATCTGGAGGTAATATATAATGTCCAATATCCAATGAAAATAAAAATATTGATAGATACCCTAATCTACCAAAAAATTGCCATAATAGAAATCACGCCCTCATGGAAAAAAAATTAAATTTCCAACTAGAGATCGACAAGATAATATCCTTTTCTTTGTTATTTTATTGAAAAAAAAAGTGCATAATAATTATGTATAAAATTCATATTCTTTATTAATTTGATGATGTTTAAGAGAAAAGAGTTCTTTATTTATTCTATCATAATTTGTATATAATAATTTACAGATACCTGTTTTTAGAACTAATATCAATATCAACTGCTGCTGCTACTATTATGGTATCAATAACAACAGCTATAATATTATTAAGAATGAACTCTTTAATAAAATCATTTCGTTTTTACACTACAGCAAATTCATCATCATCATCTAATACTAATTAAAATATCGTAAATAATAATAATAATAATGACAACAACGACTTAAATCCTAACAATTCAAATTCAAATTTTTATGAACCATCAACTGATGTTATTGATCTATCATCACCATCAACTGCTGCTGCAGTTTTGGCTGAAACAGGCATGAAATGGGTCATTAGGATTGGTGAATTCTACACCAATAGGATTTCCTGAAGTTTTGTTAGAAACATTACATGTTACGTCAGTTTTCAACAATAGTAGTGACAAACATTACTATTATGTATGGCTTTCATAACGTCAACTTGCAAAAGTTAACCGGAATTCAATGTATTGAATGAACAGCTAAAAAAATCCGTCGAAATAATTCAGTGAAATCATTAGAATTAAAGATGGGAATCCTTAATTTTTGTATAAAAAACATAATGTCAGTTCAATTCAAGGCTTAAGCACCACATTTATTCAGGTGCCAATACTGCTTTGTTTTTTTGGGGGAAATATTTCTAAGGTTGATGTACCAGACCTTAAAATTGGTAGTTTCAAGATTTATCTTTATCTGGTCATTGCTACATTTTACCACTGCAAGTTTCTATATAATGATGGAGGTAACAATATATATATACATATATATTTAGAATAACAAACATAGTAATATTAAACAACAAAATAGATTGGATTGAGGACAACACCTAATAGTTCTCCAAATTTAAATATGTAAATTTTTTCCATGTAATGACTTTAGTTTCATTTCGTTACTTTTAGTAAGATTATTTATTTATTTCCTATCAATGTCACGGAAAATAAAAAAGCAATAATAGTACATCTTGTGAGCTCATCAACAATTAGTTCATTACAAATAATAATAATGAATTCCGACATCGTGTTAATTTACCAGAACTTGAAAACTAATCAAAAGACGTCATTTAATTCACGGGAAAAAAAAATTTTTAAATGAATCGTTAAAAAATGGAAAACTTTTCAATAAATTATAGGATAATAACAGCAAGAAAATTTCGAAGTTGACGAGTGAATTGGCGAACTGACTTATTGATGAATGGATGAATATTTACTTTTTGGTACGTAGTATTGGGTTAAAAGAATTATGTGTATGTGTTAAGTGTATGGAAATAAAAAACTATTTATCATAAAAATATATATATATATATTGCCCCAGTGTTACTTTATATCCTTTATATTATAATAATCATTGTAATAATAATAGTGGATATAAAAGCGTCAAACGGGGCATCTATTGAATCATTGGAATCTTTAATCAGCTTTGTTCAAATAACTAATTTTTTCTTGTTTGAAGGAACAAAAAAGGATTTCATACAAACAGAAAAAATTTTTTTATAATTATTATAAATCTTTATTAATAACAATTTTAGAATATTTGTAAACAGTTGTTTTTTTTTTTATTCTGGAAATTGACTGCAAATGATATGTGTAAACAATTTTTATTTGTCTGAATGTTCAAATATAACAACTTTCATTTTTTAAAATCTAAAATCTATAAATAAATAAATTATTATTATAATTTAACCTTCCAGCCATTTCTCCATAAAATTAAAGAAACGAAAATATTGGTAAGCATATAAAGTGATAAAATTATTTCTGCTACTAAATCACTTGTATACAAAGTTTTTGTTGAAATATTAATTAATCCAGTCAAAATATTTGCCTGTTAAAATATCAGTAATTAATTATAAATAAATACGTTGTCAAATATTAATAAAACATTATTTTTTTTTACTTACGATTAAAAATATAAATAAATTATTTTCATTAATTGATTCAATTATATTCGGCAATATTTTATAATTTTCATTATTTTTATTGAATTTCCACCATTTATCGAAAAATGAAATCTCAACTAATTGAAATAATGACAGAAAACTTGTATTAAAACTTAATATCCAAAATATATAACTCAAATTTGCCAATTTTCTACTGATCTCAATTTTGATTCCAATACACAATAAAAATCCAATCCAGAATAATATTGACCATGACATTAAAATCAATAATAATTTGGTGGGTTTAGGAAATTTTTTGTTTTTTCTGTTCATTTTAAATGCATAATATGGATCTGGAGGTAATATATAATGTCCAATATCCAATGAAAATAAAAATATTGATAGATACCCTTAATCAAAAGACGTCATTTAATTCACGGGAAAAAAAAATTTTTAAATGAATCGTTAAAAAATGGAAAACTTTTCAATAAATTATAGGATAATAACAGCAAGAAAATTTCGAAGTTGACGAGTGAATTGGCGAACTGACTTATTGATGAATGGATGAATATTTACTTTTTGGTACGTAGTATTGGGTTAAAAGAATTATGTGTATGTGTTAAGTGTATGGAAATAAAAAACTATTTATCATAAAAATATATATATATATATTGCCCCAGTGTTACTTTATATCCTTTATATTATAATAATCATTGTAATAATAATAGTGGATATAAAAGCGTCAAACGGGGCATCTATTGAATCATTGGAATCTTTAATCAGCTTTGTTCAAATAACTAATTTTTTCTTGTTTGAAGGAACAAAAAAGGATTTCATACAAACAGAAAAAATTTTTTTATAATTATTATAAATCTTTATTAATAACAATTTTAGAATATTTGTAAACAGTTGTTTTTTTTTTTATTCTGGAAATTGACTGCAAATGATATGTGTAAACAATTTTTATTTGTCTGAATGTTCAAATATAACAACTTTCATTTTTTAAAATCTAAAATCTATAAATAAATAAATTATTATTATAATTTAACCTTCCAGCCATTTCTCCATAAAATTAAAGAAACGAAAATATTGGTAAGCATATAAAGTGATAAAATTATTTCTGCTACTAAATCACTTGTATACAAAGTTTTTGTTGAAATATTAATTAATCCAGTCAAAATATTTGCCTGTTAAAATATCAGTAATTAATTATAAATAAATACGTTGTCAAATATTAATAAAACATTATTTTTTTTTACTTACGATTAAAAATATAAATAAATTATTTTCATTAATTGATTCAATTATATTCGGCAATATTTTATAATTTTCATTATTTTTATTGAATTTCCACCATTTATCGAAAAATGAAATCTCAACTAATTGAAATAATGACAGAAAACTTGTATTAAAACTTAATATCCAAAATATATAACTCAAATTTGCCAATTTTCTACTGATCTCAATTTTGATTCCAATACACAATAAAAATCCAATCCAGAATAATATTGACCATGACATTAAAATCAATAATAATTTGGTGGGTTTAGGAAATTTTTTGTTTTTTCTGTTCATTTTAAATGCATAATATGGATCTGGAGGTAATATATAATGTCCAATATCCAATGAAAATAAAAATATTGATAGATACCCTAGAAAAAATAAAATTACATTTAATCCATTTACAATAAACAATACTTATAATTAGTTGATTAATAAATATATTATTTATTTTTTAACTACCCCAAAAACTAGATAGTCCTTCTTTATTATCATTGATTAAATTTATTCTAGGTGCATTTTGTATATATTCTTCTAATCCAAATTTCGATAAAACTATTTGGTACACTAAATAAACAATAAACATTAATCATATAGTATTTTGATTTTGTTAATATTAACAACAACCAATACTGTATTTATGTATAGAATGCCTACAAATTGCAATAGTCAATCCAACTATGGAAAATCTTGTGTATTTTTGAAAAGTTCTACACAATGTTACAAAAATCGGTAGAAATCCAAGTGTAAAAAAGAAATTCCAATGTTTCCCATATTCAGTGACATGTTCCTACATAACATTTAATTAGTCAATAAATGTATTATTAATAAATGTATTCAATATTTAACTGATGATTATATTAACCTGATAATCTGATGATTTAACAGCGATTAATCTCAATATCCCAAGCGCCAGAATTGGCAAAGAATGTTTAACTGCTGCAACTAATTGTCCTTTCATTGGTTTAAATCGGTTTTCTGGTTTTTTCAAAAATGGTTTTGCTGATACAATTCCCGATGAAAATACAAATGATCCGACTCCCAAATCCATCTAAATAATAATATATGCATATAAATTAATCATATGCGCATACAGCATACACATGCACACGCATTTAAGTATCTTTAAAAAATCTTCACCAAGGATGTTCCATAATCTTCAACTTTTGCAAATCTTCTAGGAAATACTTTGAAATCTACTGCTAAAATACATATACAAGTTAAAATTACCATACTAGATCTATAAGCTGTGAGGAATGGTTTTCTATAAATATAAATATTTTTTTTTTTTATATATTTTTCATTCATTAAATAATCATCATCGTCATCTTTTTCCTTTTTTCCTTCCAATTTTTCATTATCATCATCAATAACTATTATTCCACCACCACTATTGCCACCATTATCATTAAGCCCCTTTTTATTAAGCAATAAATTTTCATTTTCGTCATAACTATTATCATTATCAATTTCTTCCTCATCTGAATCTTTTTCCCATGGTTGTTTTTTCTTTTTTGGCTCTTTATTTTTTGAATATTTACTGGAGATCAAAAATGATATTATTATAAATAACAAATTTAAATAAAATGTATATGATGATAAGATTGTACATGCTAATATGCTTGGCAATACTAAAATCAAAAATTCCAAAATAATAATGTTTATGGTTTTTGTAATTAATGAATTTGTTGCTGCTTCAGAATTATTATAGTTGAACAATATCGCCAATTCACTTTTTGAAATTGCTGACCATAATATATATGATGTTAATAAAACTCCTGTAATAGAATTAATTTCCAATATTGATCCTCCACTATGCCCACTGACCCAATTCTCTTTCTCTTTTTTATAATCCATTTTCAAACATTCGAATGAATATTGGCATAATTAATTTCACATGTAACACAAAATCATACTGCTTATTTTTTTTTTCTACATAATAATAATATAATATAGGATAGATACTTTCTATTTCCCCTTTACTAGAAATCTTTTTTTAGATAAAATACTAAAATTTATATAATAAAGAAAGATGAATGATATGCATTTAATGTAATAATCAATAGAAAAACAAATAAATTTTCATCCCAAAAATATATATTAATACATACATATATATATGTGACAAATTAATCAGTTTAATAAAAAAAAGATTATAGATATTTGCTTTGCTTAAGAATAATTTAATAGGAGTTTAATAATAATAATAACAATAATAATAATAATCATCTTGGCTAACTTGATTCATAAATACATCTTAATTTTTTCAACAGCTTCTATCAAATAATCTATTAAATCGTTAAAAAAATATATATTTAAAAAGTTATCATTGCAATTTATACACATAAATACTATACACAAGTTATACCTAAATATCTATACGAATATAATATAAAACATTGCATTTATCATCATCATCATCATCATCATCACCATCACCATCACCATCGCCATCATTACTCATGGATCCATTTGAAGTGAGATTAGAATTTATAAGTTGCTTAAAAAAACTCAATGCGTCACAACCTTACATCAGAAAATGTGTAAAATATGCAATTCAAAATAAAGGTTGTTACGAAGATTTACATAGATGTATATTGGAAGTTATGGATCAATTTACCATCTTGCCACGATTGAATTTGCTTTATTTCATTGATGCTTTATTAGAGAATTCAAAATCTATAAATTTCAAAGGATATATTGAACTCATTAGACAGGATTTAAATAAATTAATTTTGGATGTTACAAGTGGACCAAATGGGGTTATTAATATTACTAACACTAAAAGAATTTTATTGGGTTGGAGGAAAAAAAAATATTTTGATAAGAAAGTTTTGGATGAGGCAGAGGAAATATTATTAGACAAAAAAAATTGGTTTAATAGAAATTCTATCAATACTAAACACAAAAACAACAACATCTGCAACATCTACAATATCATCAACAACAACAATTGTATCATCAAAATCTAAATGATAATAATAATAAATATTCAACAATATTATCAAATAATAATATATTAATAAGCATCATACTTGTTATCATAGATTTTTCAATATACATAATCCCAATTTCGTTTCTATGCATAGTTCCAACCACTTTCAGTATCGTATTTTGGTATTCACCTTCAATCTATTACCTTTTCAAATTCATCCTAACAAACCAGAAATTTGGTTCATATATAAAGTTTAGCTTATTCATAATATCGCCATTAATCATATTATTTTACACCATAATATTATTGCCTATCATTATATTATTTTGTTATAGTTATAGTTTATTCATCACTCTAATTTCACCCATAATACTACACATCAAAGCAGACTTTATAATTGTAGTCTTTATAACAATTGATGATTCGACTGATGATTTTTGAAAATTAACAATTAGTTTATTACTACGTTTATAATCGCATTAGTCGTAATTTTACTTACTATTACTTATTATTACTATCATAATCTCTTAAATAAATTCAAATTACATAATTAAATCATTCATTATGACCGCTGCACCACAAAGTATCTTCAATTCAAAGTTTCTTCCGCCTTGCAAGGTATTCATTCTTATTTGGGGTTGATCAATAGAAACAAGGCATGTCACCAAAAAGTCGATTTTGAGTTAACAATATTTTTATATGTAATTCATCACAAAGAACATTTTTAGTTTAATAACTATACCCATTTCACTTATAAATGTTTTGAGAAAGGTGAAAGAACATTAGTCAAATCAAGTATTACACAAGTAATACAGCCGGGATACAAAAATTCTGTGGTTAAATATTAGTTTTTTTAGTTTTCTAATCGTGTAACCAAATCTTGAAACTTTTTTATTTTTCTCTCAAGGTAATTTTTATTTTTTAAAAGCAAGAATTCTGGTTATATTATAGTGTTAAAAGAAGATCGGTATAAGAATTATGAGTTTAACTGTCCTCATGTTTTTAACCTGCACACAGTCACTATTTATCATATTTAAACGTTAGATCAAACGCGTTATATTTTTGTCTACATTAAAAGTGGAAAAATGTTAAATCCATTAGAATAATTAACTCATTTAATTGATTTTATTAACATAATTTATTGTATATTTATTTATTTATTTATATTTATATACATATAGATTATATACATTATTTTTACGTTTGTTTCCCAAAGATTTAATATTCAAAGCTTCAATCAAAATTTTATCATGAAACGTAGTAACGATAATGGTAATTGAAGTCACGATAATACTAAAAAAGCAAGGTATAATCCAAATCATAGTAGTGACAATGTTTTTTTAACAAGAGGTAATGAAAATTAAATATTTTTTTTTATTTACAAAACATTTCTATCAAGCAATAATAGCTGATTATTATCATAAAGCTGCTCCGTTGAGATTAAAGCAATCCATAAATCGACCTTCAAAAATTTATCAAAAATATTCTACAAATATTATTAGACGAACTGTATATCTTGGAAATTTACCATCAAATGTAGAAGTTTATAAACTTATAAATCAAATCAAAGTTGGTCCATTAGAGTCTGTCAAACTCCATCCTGACAACACTTGTGCCTTCATTTCTTTTATGAATGCTATTCTTGCAAAAGCATTTTATGATGAAGCTATGACCAAACAAATTTTTTATGAAGGTCAAAAACTTTACGTTAGTTGTGGTAGACCATCAGCTGTACCTTTAGGTGTTCAATTAGCTGTTGATGAAAACAATGCTTCACGTAACGTTCTCCTAGAAATTTGGATGATTCGTTCACTGAAAGGATTTTACATAGAGATTTGGCTGAATATGGTAATATTGATACTATTCAAATTATCAGAGGAAAAAAGATTGGATTAGTTCATTTCTTGAATATTTCAAGTGCCATTAGAGCAGTTAAATCACTACCATCAAAATACGCATACAAAGAGGTTAAAGTTGACTATGCCAAAGACAGTGTTTTTAACCTGCACACAGTCACTATTTATCATATTTAAACGTTAGATCAAACGCGTTATATTTTTGTCTACATTAAAAGTGGAAAAATGTTAAATCCATTAGAATAATTAACTCATTTAATTGATTTTATTAACATAATTTATTGTATATTTATTTATTTATTTATATTTATATACATATAGATTATATACATTATTTTTACGTTTGTTTCCCAAAGATTTAATATTCAAAGCTTCAATCAAAATTTTATCATGAAACGTAGTAACGATAATGGTAATTGAAGTCACGATAATACTAAAAAAGCAAGGTATAATCCAAATCATAGTAGTGACAATGTTTTTTTAACAAGAGGTAATGAAAATTAAATATTTTTTTTTATTTACAAAACATTTCTATCAAGCAATAATAGCTGATTATTATCATAAAGCTGCTCCGTTGAGATTAAAGCAATCCATAAATCGACCTTCAAAAATTTATCAAAAATATTCTACAAATATTATTAGACGAACTGTATATCTTGGAAATTTACCATCAAATGTAGAAGTTTATAAACTTATAAATCAAATCAAAGTTGGTCCATTAGAGTCTGTCAAACTCCATCCTGACAACACTTGTGCCTTCATTTCTTTTATGAATGCTATTCTTGCAAAAGCATTTTATGATGAAGCTATGACCAAACAAATTTTTTATGAAGGTCAAAAACTTTACGTTAGTTGTGGTAGACCATCAGCTGTACCTTTAGGTGTTCAATTAGCTGTTGATGAAAACAATGCTTCACGTAACGTTCTCCTAGAAATTTGGATGATTCGTTCACTGAAAGGATTTTACATAGAGATTTGGCTGAATATGGTAATATTGATACTATTCAAATTATCAGAGGAAAAAAGATTGGATTAGTTCATTTCTCAAGTGCCATTAGAGCAGTTAAATCACTACCATCAAAATACGCATACAAAGAGGTTAAAGTTGACTATGCCAAAGACAGGTGTGAAATATATATGCAAAACACTCTCCTTCAAAGCTTTGGAAATAATGCCACATTAAAGGCAGCTCATAATCCTTATCCTAATGTTATGTCAACAACTCATAATCATTATTTTAATGGTGTCGACAACTTGTAATCCTTATCTTAATAATGTGTCAACTCATGATCATTTTAATTCTATTCAATCAATTCAACATACCAGTCCTAAAGCTTCTTC